ACGCATTCGTTATTTCTCAAGTGCACTAGCAATCGACTACCAATTCCTCAAGCCACACCACCGTGTGTGCCTTATCGTGCTGAAGCGATTGCATTTCAGGGCACATGTACAGCCTGCGCCGCGTGCCGACTGGATGCCAGACTGCTCCCGTCTGCTTCTTTTGCACTCGGCCGTTAATTGTGTATCTTGCTGCACTCCTCGTTGATACTGCCAGGTGCTGTGTGGAGCAGGTTTTTCACGTCAGCTGTAGACGCACCTAGCCCCCTCCACCCCCGGCCCCTCTATCCCAGCCGCCATCTACCCATTCATTGTTGCTCTGCCGCTGCTCCCATCGACCGTCCCAGCTGCCTCGACAACACCGCCGCACTCCTCCTTTGAAATGACGTCAAGTCACTTGATCTCACTCCCAAGCCAACTTCACCCACACGTTATCACCCATCATGATGCGCATTGAAGATGAGAGAGTCCTGATTCAGGATGGTGGGGGGTGTCGAACGTCCCAAGTGTATACATGTGCAGTGGGGGAGCAGATGGGGAGGGTGTCGGTCGCCTGCCGAGCACGTATCAATAAGAAAGAAAATGTCAGATTCGCTGCTGGCAATGTGCCAAAATCTCCCTCGAGACTCGATCAGACTGGAAGACTCGCAGAGTGGCCAGTCGTCGAACGCAGTCACTATCACACATCACCACTCAAAAGTTTTAACAAGCACAATTCTCATATAATTGACCCAGCCGCCCTTGGACATCCTGCTCCGTCAGTGGCAACGGATGGGTCGAGAGCTGGAAATGCCCTTTCAAACAAGGTGACGGCGCACAATAGCCACCATGAGCTCCCGAAGCACCAAGCTATCCACGGACCAGGGCGCCTCATGGGTTCGAATCAGCTTGATCTGCACAGACCGGAACGCACGAGTGACCCACGGATGAGAACGGCTGGAGCGCCCCACCCCCCCCCCCCCCCCCCCAAAAAAAAAAAAAAAAAGAAATGCCAGGAAAGGGGCGTGACAGCAGCAGCAATGATCCACTCCAAAGAAAGTGGTACGAAAAAAAAAAAAGAAGAAGACATGCGGATAGAGCAGCAGCCCGACGTACACCGGTGAATTGACCCAGGGCCGCGGCTAGCTCGTCAGCCTGGGCCGCCGTGCCGGTCACCTAAAGCAACAACCCAACTGTGTGAGACGACCAGAAAAGGCTGGACAACTGCCGGCCTTGGACGGTGCACGTACGGCGAGGCAGGCCTTGGTCGTGGCTCCTGTAGTCAGGGTGACGAGGTGCACCTCAAATCGCTCCAGTGTCGTGCCGAGCTCACAGACACAATACTGTGCGAGCCACGGGTATGGAAAAGTACAGTCATGAGTCACACTGACGTGCCTTTGCGACGGGAATAAGGGTGCACTTGTTGCCAGCACGCCGAAAAACCCATCCCCGATCAACTGACCTGACCAGAGACGGTTCGCTTGAGCTTGAACCCGCCATCATTCATCGTGTCCAGGATCTGCAGAAAGCTCTGTGCAATTCCGGACAACGGCAGTTTCAACATACATGCTAACATGAGACCATAGCCATGCCCCTTTCAGCGTTGATCCAACTGCAAAGAACGCCCGGCCCTTTGGTGGCTGGCGGTGGACATGAGGGTGGTGCAAGAAAGAATAGCGCACTGACGCGATCCGTAATCAGGGGCTCGGCTTGCTCATGAAAGAGGGTCAACCGGTCCAAGGCTAAAAGTCAAGCAAACATCATGTTGGGTGATTGTGAGCCCAGCCATGACCTCAGCTTGGCAACTTGGCAACGCTTCAGCCCACGATGGGAAAAGAGCTGGCAAGTTGAGCGAGCCTGGAAACACGGCAGGCTGGCGGCATGGCCAAGGGGTCTGAGGAGACATACAAGGATAATCGACCACGGTTGCCTTGGTCTCGGCCCCTTCATAGAGCTTGATGGCAATTGAGGCATTTTGCTGAGACCAGCGCTTGACCGATTGCAGCTAGCGTTGACATGTTCATACCAATGCCCGGCCAGGTGCCCACAGCTGAGCGAATCGCCGACTGACATTTGCTCAAGCATACAATCGCTTTGAGTGTGTCAAGCGGGAAGAGAGGCATTCCTTGGCAGAAAAGCATACCTCCAAATAGCGTGTGCCCTTTTCATGCATACCCACTGGGGCCTCTGAGGCCACAAAAACATGCACGAAGCCCTGGCCCTCGGTCACGCCGTCGCCCTCCATCTTGAGCCCCCGGATCCGAAAAAAAAAAGTGTGACAGTGGGACCATTTGTCAGATTTTAAATGAAAGGCCGGTGATGTATAACAGTTGGTAGCAGATTGTCATTACCAGCTGTCATCCATCCTTTGGTGACAGGAGGAGACGGAAGTGGAAATGGCGGTGCCGGTGCCGGTGGCGGTATCTACGGCATGGCGTCATGGGCAACCTCACTATTAGTCCTTGTCAACGACGTACATCTAACGACTGCCATGCCCAAGGTCTTGGTAGGCTTGATCCCGTGATGCCTCTTGACTTGATGCGACTGACCACCTGAACATCCAAGGTGTGCGTCGTTGGGCAATGCAAGCAGTGTTTTTTTTCTTCATTCTGTGACGATGGCCGGACCGCGCTCAAAGTTTGTTGGCCGACCCGCCGTACACGACAAGCTGCCCGATCCATCACCCTCAAACTTGGAAAGAAACATTACCACGTCCCGAGCACCACCAGCAATAGCCCCTCACCGCCCCCTAAGAACCAAAGAAGCACAAAAGAACCAAAGAAGCACAACTCTGTGAGCGAGAGAGAGAGAGAGAGAGAGAGAGAGAGAGAGAGAAAACAAATTTCTTTGTCTACCACACACGCACACACACACACACACACACACACACACACACACACATATTTGTAGACAAAACAAGAACTAAGAACCAGAGAGAGAGAGAGAGAGAGAGACGGGGAGACGGATGCTGTCAGTGGCTTGCCTGGACGGATCAGAGACTGGGGCTGAGATCGGTGTAGGAAGTCGGTGCGGTGGTACCGTTGGTGACTGGCTCGTGTGCTGGATGCCAAGCGCTCTGGGTTGCGCTTACAGACGGTGGCAAACGTCTGGTGCGTCCGCTTTGGCAAGGAAAGCAAACAGGGCCACAGACCGCTCGTGTGTCAAAAAGGTCAGTGCGCGAGCCTCAAGAAGGCAATTTGCCGCCTTGCCCCCAATCCCTAGCTCAGGGCTCAGACGCATATGCATACTAGGCTGGGGGTGGGCGCCTGCTTGATTGTTTTCCCATGCTGGCTTTTGATCATGTCCGTTCGATCGCGGTCCTTATCGCTTTTCCCGCTGCCCCTACATTCCAATCTCGTCATCTTAGCCCGGCCCGGTTATTCTCGACGCCTCGACCGACCCAGCAACATGGCTGCCGATGCCGGTATGTTCTCAGCAATGACAAAAAGCCTCTCAAGGCTCAAAAATCGCACACTCGTACCGTGCCTTCTTTGGGCAACGAAGGCACAGTCCGCCAGCGACGCAGATGCGACATGACAGGTCTTGCCATCGTGCACGATGTCAGCAGCCCTCACCCCCGTCATCTCATCATCCTTTTGCAGAAGTGACGAGTAACCTGCAAGCCCTCTCGCTTGAAGGTCTGGCCTCTCATCAGCAGCAACGAATCGTTGGCTCTCCCATTCCCGGCGCTCGGACCAATGTGTCCTCCACCTCGAGCGCCTCAAGTCGCTCGGCTCGACCCGTGCCCCCGCCCCTCAACATCCCCGACCTTACCCACCAAGCCACCCGTCCCATGGGTCGATTTGGTGAACCCTCGGCCCCTACTGCTGGATCAGTCCCGGCCCCCACCTCCAATGCCACTCACCACGGCTGTACGTCCCACCACGCCCTCCTGGCTATTTTGTCGGCCAGATGTGCCTTTCTTGCGATGATGTTTCGCCTCGTCCTGTCACGCTACACCCTTCCCCGACTACTTTTTTCCTGTTCAACCTCACACCTCACGCGCCCGGCCTTGCGTCGCTCGTTGACTCTGTGTTCCAAGATGACATCCCACCGTTCAAGGGAAAAGACGAGGACGACGCAGGTGATGCGTCCTCGCCTACCAGCAATGGGTCCAACGGTCAATTCAACCAAGCCCCGGTCTGTCCTCTATGGCCACCCTTGAACCACGCGCTCGCGCACCCTTACAAACCCCAAATATGCTTGCCCTCACCTCCCTTTGCAAATCACACATGTACATGTTAGGTCTCCAAGACCAACCTGATCATCAATTACATCCCAAACAGCTTCTCCCAAGACGACCTGCGTGCGCTCTTTGGCGCCTACGGTGCCTTGAAAAGGTTTGACGCTCCTCCCACGACCCGCTCATCACACCACCCCTGCCTCTCACTCAGCCGTCCATCTCAACTTTCTGATTTTCCGCCAACCTAGCTGCAAGCTCATGTATGATCGGGCCACGGGAAAGAGTCTTGGCTACGGTTTTGTTGAGTACGAAGACGAAAACGGTGCTACCAAGGCTGCTGATGCCCTGAACGAGTTTCAGTACGTGTGTCTGCTGAGCCCACTGTATCTGCCCTCTGGTTTCTAGTTGACTACCTGGCCCAGGCCCCTGTGTACTTGACCGGGCTCACACTGAACAATGGTTGCCCTTTACTTGATGCTTAGGATTGAGAACAAGCGTCTCAAAGTCAGCTTTGCTCGCCCCTCCAGCTCAACCATTACGAATGCCAATCTCTACATCAAGGTAAGAGTGCGGCTTGCTTCAATCTCGTCTTTTCTCTCGTCAATCGCGTTCCCCTCATCAATGCCGGCCCATTCACTTCTTTCGTGCCAGGGCTTGCCCACCACCATCAACGAGCAATCCTTGACGGACATGTTCAGCTCATGTGGCGATATTATCAGCGTTCGCGTCCTCTATGACCGCAATGGCACTCCCAAGGGCGTGGGCTTTGTGCGCTTTGATCAAGTTTGTCCCTCTGCCCCAGCCCCTGCCCCTCGGCTTCAGCGCGCACGCGCCTTTCGTAACCCATTTGTTGTTCGCTTCTGCCATGTGCAGCACAAGGAGGCGGAGAATGCTATTCAGCGCTTCAACAACGTGACCCCTGAAGGCTGCACTACACCGCTCGTGGTCAAGTTTGCGGACAATGCAAAGTTTGTCGTTGCTTGCGAGCCCGGTTGCCCGGAACCAAAAGTCACAGCCATTGCTCGTCGCTCATCCCTGCCATCCCGCCCACGGCAACTGCTCGCCAATGCTCAGATCGCGTGCGGCCGCCCCGCCTCCGCCGCACGTCCAGGCGACCATGAATCACTATGGTGAGCCTCCCTCGGCTGCTTCTCCAACACTCTGCTCTCTAGCTCTTGTTTGCTTTGCGTGCTGCAGCCTCGGCTCCGGCGGCTCACGTGATCTTCGCCAATTACCCATTCCGCAGCCTCTTTGGCGGCATATCGCTCAACGTTAGGTGGATTCATGCCCTACCATCCGCCAACCTCGCCACCGGCACAGCCCTTTGCGGCGCGCATGTCGATGCAGGCCCCGAATCAACCTCAGGCACAGCCTCAGCCTCAGCCTCAGCCCATGCCACCTCACCCTCTGGGCAGCATGGCCCCCGACGAGGGCCACCTGGGCATGATTCCACCTTCAGCCATCTCAGACCAGGGCATCTGCCTCTTCGTCTACAATCTTCCTCCTGCGTGTACCGAGCAGGATCTGACTGCTCTAGTTGGCCAGTATGGCAACGTGCGCTCTGCCAGCATTGTGCGATACAAGGAGACGGGCTCTTCCAAGGTGCGATTCTTCATTTGTTTGTTTTTCCTCCTTCGGCGCTTCAATCACCCTCCTCTCTTAACCTGTACGTCGGTTTGTTTCAGGGTTATGCCTTTATCACGGTAGCAACCAATGCCGACGCCACCAACGTAATCCGCAACCTCAACAATATGCGCTACAATGGACGAGACCTGCAAGTGTCCTTCAAGAAGCAATCGCGCCGTCCCGCTCACGCTGATATGGGCAACATGCATGCCGGCCATGTGCTTCCACACGCTGGCCCGCGTGACATGAGCTACATGCACATGCCCCTGGATGCGGGCTATGGCTCTCTACCTGCTACGGCCCCACAAATGGGCATTCCCGGTCGCCATCCATCCTTGCCCATGATGGGTCAGTACAACACATCAGGGGCCATCTTCTACATGTCCACCTTTGTTGCTTTTATATTTGTTTTCCGATTTGTTTTTGTTTTTTCAAGCTTATTCCCTCATGTCTGCTCTCGGATTGTACTTGGATCTCATAGGCATGGGCATGCAAGCATCTATGCAAACACCAATTTCACCCTTGAGCCCGGGTACCGCAGCTCACTTGCTGAATCCCGGTCTCCTCTCACCCTCAGCGGCACCCATGCCCTTGCAAACACCTCAGCACCTCATTTCCCCTTCCTACCCATCATCTGCGGGTCCTTACTCGTAAGTCTTGCCGTGTCACCGACCAATCCCCCAACCCCTCTTCTAAAGTGACGCCGGCTCTGCGTTTTGAGCTGGGCAATCTCATGTGTGGGGCGAATCGACACAGCGCTTTCTTCGGAGAAGTTGATCCCGCCGGTCCCATGGGCAACCGCCATGCGTAATGAAGCTGACTGACATCTGCAGTACGGATGCCCCCGATCACCATCCGCCTTTGTCAACTACCTCAGGCTGTCATGTCCTTTCACTCTCTACCTTTTTAGCCCCTCCCTCCTTGAACGTCGTGAACATGTTGGGATTCGGTCTTGTGATTGCTCCCCTCTTTCCCCTTTCATTTCTTTTCTGATTTTTCTTCAGTCCACTTCTTGCCTTGCCTGTCTTCTACGTGTTGCCTGTGTTTTCTCCTTTTCCATTTGATGTGATGGATCGGTGTGGATGGTCTGCTTTTCGTTTGACTTCTTCTCTAACTGTATCCTCTTCGGTTTTTTGTTTGTTTTTTCTTCTTCTTCTTCTTCTTTTTTTCCTCTTTCTTTCCCTCTTTCTTCTTTGTTTTTTCTCTTAGTTGCTCTACCTCAACGCCTCAAAACTCGCATTGGTGGAGACTACATTCGCACGTAGCTAGCAGAAGAACCGTTGGCCAAGTGGTCTCCTTCTTCAATTCGCCAGTCTGTCTTGTGATGATCGTTGTTGTTGATGTTGATTTGTTGTTTGGGCTCTTGTTTTCTTTTACTCTCCTCCCTTCGACCTCTCGCATTTCGTTTGATTTGGTTTTTTTTTTTTTTTTTAGAGTCACCAAGGTCTTGGATCAAAGTAGATCCAGTATGACTTGTCTGATTGAAACATTCCCTTGAAATCCCTTTTGACCAACCAATGCCTCAAGAACAGATGAAGACACCACCAAGGGTTGGGTTGCTCAATTACTCGTGTAAATAATGAATAACAACAGGACGGACATATCGCAGGAAGTCATGATAGAAAAACAATCAACGCAAGCGAGAATTGAGGGGTTCAATGTAATAGTAGATGGGACCAAGGCTACCGTCCCACAGATGTGCGCCAATGTCCGCGAAACGATCCCCGTTGAGGCGAATGAGGCGACAGGGAGCCCCGCGTACAGTCATGGGCAGGCCATGTGTGACGGGCGCCAAAATGGCAACCTGCGCATCGCCCTTGTTATGCGTCTCCAGAACACTACAGAGGCGGTGGCCCTTGGGGACAGATTGCTCCAAGTAACGAGGCACGCCCTCTGCCGTCACGTAACCCCAGGTCAAGTCGGTCGGAGCAAAAAGGCGCTCGAGGCACGCATAGCCTTCACGAGATCGCGCGGCCCAAGCGGCAACGTCGGCAACGCGCTGCACTTGTTCGGTGCCATCCAATTCGCGCCAGGCCGGAGCCTCTACGTTTGAGCGGCGAGGCCCAGCGGTTGAGCGCCAACTCACATCTAAATCAGGCAGGTCCTCCGCGTCAGACCATTCCACTGGGTTGGCGGCATTGATACTGTCTGAAGAGAGGTCAGCCAAATCTAGTTCGCTCTGGTCCAGATACTGAGAGGCCGAGAGCGCGGCGTGAGCGTGAGCAGGTAGAGCCTCCGATTGCGGCCTGCTGCCAATACCATCATATGCTGCGCCGGTCGGCGATGAAGCACCAACCGCTGGGGAAGGCCATTCACCACTCGTCAGCTTATGTGCGTACGGACAACGGGCAGCCGCGTTGGCGGAGATGGGTGTGGAGCTGCCGACGACATCGCGACTTCCATCCAGGTACTGTGAGACGCTGAGACCCGGATGGCCAGGGGGAAGAGCGATATCCGGTATCGGGCTGTTTGCCGCCGCCACAGGTGAGGCAGCGGTGGTGGCTGAGGCAGTGGTGCCTTTGGACCGCGACTTGCGAAGGGGCGTTGAAGCGGTGGGTGCCTCTGTCGTGCTGCTGACGTCGACGTTGCTTGGGCTCCTGTTACTAAGGCGTCGGTGCGCAACAGCTTCATTCAAGGCTTGGACAAATCCAGCAAAGGTGGAACCACCAGGCGACTGCGCAGGCTTGAAGGAATTTCGCCGTGACTGCGGGGAATCAACATCATTGCTTGGGGAACGTCGCAAGGAGGTGCGCCGCGACTGCGCCAAAACAAGTGATTCGCTAGAGGCAGGCCAGATGGAGCTGCGGCGGGGTTGAGGCGAGGCCGGTGCGTCTGCATCCAAGTTGAGCAAAGACCAGACGGAACTCTGTTGCAGCTTTGGGGAGCCGGGGACGTCAGGGTTGGTTGTAGTAGTGCTTTGCTCGAGCGGTGTCATGGCTCGAGGACTACTGGGTGGCAGGGAGGTATTTGTGTCGTGGCTGGAGAATTTCGAGGGGGTGCTGGGTGGCGATGCCAAGTGCACGGGCGACAAGAGATCCGAAGACACGTCCGAAGCGTTGTCAAAGTTGTCGGTAGCAACGTCCATGTCACCCACATCGAATGAATCGATCTGTGAGACGGGCATGAAAGCAGAACGAGGCCGCGAGGGAGGGGCTCGAGCTAGACTGGGCTCGTCAGGGCGAGTTGGGGAGAGGGGTGGGTCAATGAGCTCGGAATGAGGGCTGGTGGATGGCTCGCTGTGGACGGCAGTCATGGAATTCGGCCCTTGGAGCGACGAGGAGGGTCCTTGCACGGTGGGGGCCAGCAAAAGTCGGTGGGGGCAAACGGCGCGACGCGAGGCAGAAGAGTCGAGGGGCGTGGCTGCGAGAGGCAAGGTTCGTTGAGCAAAGCTTGTTTCGGGCTCTGGTACACGGGGTGAAATGGCAGCATCAATGCCGTCACCGTCCCCGTCCCCGTTCCCGTTGCGGTTCACGGTGACTGGGCTGCAAGATGCGGACAAGATTGGGGAATGTTGTGGTCTGGCGTGGCGCACCACGGGGCAGACGGTGTTGTTTGGGAAGGGGGAGGGTAGCTCGATATCCAAAGAGGCTCGGCCCACCGAGGAGTAGCGATGATGGGTTGGGGGCAATTCCATAGGCCGAGCCCCGGCTGAGCTGGATGCGGAGCAGATGCGCGGGGTGTGGCGTTGGCGGGCGTCGAGACTGTCCGAGGCCGGCAAGACACCAAAGGCTCTCTTGTGGGAAGGGGGCTGTTGCGAGGCGGGCTCGGGCTGCATCTCAGACCCCAGAGTGTTTAAATGCTGATGATAACGCCGCCACGCGGCAAAGCTGACGGCGGTCGCCAAGGCCGACCCCAACGCCACCTTCCAAGGCCAAGACCCCTCACGAAAATCCATCCTTGAGGTCTTGCCTCTGAGTGAATAGATCAAATCACTCACTCAAGCCTAAAACCCAAGGCGCGAGCCCAACCTGACCCCGACGGGAAAGGACCGGGCAGTTGCCTCAAGCAGAGCAAACCAAAAGATGCAGGCAAGGTGGGGCGAGCGAAAACCAAAACTGAGCCAAAGAAGTGGGAAAGTGAGTCACTCAAGAAGGAGTGTGTGTGTGTCACCACCGCCACCCAGCAGCAAGAACAGCAGCAGGAGGAGGAGCAAGCTAGAAGATCAGAGGGAAGAGAGCGGAGGGAAGGGCGCGAGGAGGGGGAAGGAGGAAGGAGGAGGGGGTCTCGCAGAAAAGGGGTCCGGTAGGAAATCTCTGGGGGAAATTTTTGAACCGAAAAAAGTCTCTCTCTCTCTCTAATTTCTCCTCTCTAAATCTCTCTCTCTCTCTCTCTCTCTCTCTCTCTCTCTCTCTCTCTCTCTCTCTCTCTCTCTCTCTCTCTCTCTCTCTCTCTCTCTCTCTCTCTCTCTCTCTCTCTCTCTCTCTCTCTCTCTCTCTCTCTCTCTCTCTCTCTCGG